TGAGGGTTAAGAGAGAATAGTGCAAGGTAAAGAGACATATTAAGGTCGGAAGTCGTAGAAGTGTAACGAAGAAGCCTTTAGCTTACACTAAATGCGATCGCCATCAATAATTACGTCATATCGATGCATCCTAAGTGCTACTCGAGAACGAGCATGTGTTATATATATCGTAAAAAATAATATATTTAAAACAATTGCAATTAAAATATTTCAAGCGAATCTAATTATGCTTAACAAATTAACGCTTGATTCTTACATGCCCTTAATAACTTTACTTATTATTGTTTAATATTAAGAGTCTTATTAGTATATATATGATATTCGTAGTAAATTAAGTACAACGTTATAAATATCACGTAGTCGAAAATTTCTAGCAAAAATGTGAGACTTAAAAGTGATATTTTACGTTGTCGTGATCGCGAACGTGAGAACGTTTTTCCCACGGCCTTCTAAAGGGCTCCTCTAAAAACTGAAAGTGGTTTTAAACTGGATCGGAACGTTAGACTGGTCCTAGAAGCAACATGTTGTTTTCCTTCGGTCACGAGAGACCACTTCATTGGTCCATTAACATTCCGCGAATACGTGGCCTGCCGGCCGGATTTGCATAAAGTTCCGCAGATCCCTGACGTATATCAGAATAAACGACGATAAGCATAAGCACATTGATAATCATTTTACTGGTTTAGTAACCTGATACCTTAACATATACAGCCCAACTATTCTGCCTCGCTAAATATCGTATTTTATTCGATAAATTCGCTGCAAGTCTCGATTTTAATTTTAAACATTGTGTTTACCAGTTTATATATAAATTGGTAAACAATGTTTAGAATATTATATATTATATATTATGTATATCAAATACATAAACCGGTAAACGTTACATTTGATATAGTTGAACAGCAAATCTTTAATGAGATACATGCCTGTAATTGCAATATAATAGCTTTACATATTTCAAACAAATTTTTTAAAAGCTTTCAGGAATATTTTTGTGCATCGCAATTTTTAAGTTATAAAAAAGAATAATGTTAATTAATATTAAATAGCTCCCTCCCATAAAACTTTTTAAATATAACTGATGATTAGCATATAGAACATCTATCTATATATAATAATTAGACTAATGAAAATTGCTAATAAAGAAAATAAATATTGTTCTAAATCAAAAAATACAAAATTCTAAATATAGAATATGAAAAATAACATAATTTTTATCCTTTTAAACATGTTGAACATGCATATTGACGTGCAATCCTTACACGTGCAATACGCGAAAACAAACACTGTGATGTGCAAAAATCTGAAAAATATTGTGTAATTCTATACGATTATATGAAATGTAAACTTCACATATTTTTAGATTGGGATAATGTAGTCTCTGCAAAATAGCTCATCATCGCCTGATGACCTCACGCACGATTTTGCAAGACTGAAAAACCTGTTTCTGCCGATTATAATAACACATAGTTAAACAAAACAAAACAAAAATAAAGTAAATGTGTAAAGTATTTATATTTGTGTTGCATGTAAACCATGTTATTAAATTATAATAATTGCGTACTTTGATTTTTGTTCTTATTTCGTTAAATAAATTCTAAATATAATATTAAAACACAATGTTAAAAATGTATATTATTTATTTACATCTATAACAAATTAAAATTTTTAGAATCATAGATATACATATATGATAACAAAAACAAACAATTTTGAAAATATTTTTTAATTCCTAATAGAATTAGGCCCGTTCAACAGACTTTGTAATTGAGTGAGCATTAATTACATATTTGAGTATTTTTCTTTGATTGCATAATCGATAGAAGACTACATCAATAAAGTTCAATCCATATAAGATGCAGAACGCAGATCGCAGGTCGCAAATAAAACGTATTTCACATTATAATAAGTCGTAGATCATAATACGTATATAAAACACAAGATGCAAGACGCAAAAGTTGAAGTTCATTCAACTTCTTACGTCCTGTGTTCTGCATCCTGCAACCTATTATAATTAAAATATGTTAGATTAGTTTCTAATTTTGCGACCTACAACCCGCGTTCTGCGTCTTACGTATGGTAGGTAGATCGGGCTTAACAGCGAGCGCTCAACTGTTGAGTTCTCGCACTTGAGAACGCACTCGTGATGACTAATAGAGAAGATAATGGTTGCCACAATTTTATTGCGCCTAGATATTTGAATTATGGAACATTTCAATACAGTGGCAGAAGAACATTCCATTGTACTGCGAATACGTGCACTATCAAGGAATACGCTTTTAAATGCCTCGGTTTTAAATGCCTTACCGGCGATAGCGTCACTTTATAATGCACCAAGTGCAATTCTTATTAGTAGCATTAGCGTACTCATCGGTGATAAGACGTATGCCGATGTAGATAACAAACTTAAGCCGGTCGCTTCAAGCTACTCGACAAGCGGCTCTTTAGGCATGTTTGCGAGCACAACGCAATACGCGATTCACCCACGCACTTGAATTCAAGTACACGTACTACACTCCCGTAAAGCAGGTATTATGTCAAGATATCCGAGACACGTCGCCATGTACGTGTATTGAGAAGATGCATCAGTTTCACCAGGTAAATTCTAGCTTCTCCGGATTGTGGCTCTCGCCGACACATCGACGTAAGTCCGGACACGGGCATTTGCGAAAGACGATTCGTTATCTCTGACGTACGTTTCTTGACGCTCCGAAGAGTATCGAGGATCACGCGCGAAAGCTTAGATAACGCTCCGCTGAACGGAATCGGAATGTGAAATACGATATATTTGTGCAAACAAATGTATTGTGTGTGCTCGAAAAAAACAAAGTGATAAGACACAATTATCAAATCAGTATGCTTAGATTGATTTTGGCAGAATAAATTAGCCAACAAGAGAGAGTTTTAATTTTTTAATACAACTGTACTTTAATATAGCTATTTTATTTTTTTATATATAAATTTAAATCTGTAAAATAAGTAAATTCATAAAAAGAATGTTTTTGTTGAAATATCTAAGTTTTTGCTAGATACAAATCTGAAAATTATAGATAATAAATGCTGGACCCCATCAAAATAATTATGTAGAACTTTAGAACTGGTTACTAGAATATCAAAACATTTTGCATTGTTCATCATGTATCAGATTTCTATAAAATTATTTTAATGACTCAACAAAATTATTTTTAAATCTGTATTTACTCTTTAAATTCTTTAGAGTGAAATCTCACTTTAAAAAGTGAAAAGTGAGCCAGTCTTAAAAAAGAGTGGCTCAATGTTCAATGTTTAATAATATAAGATTTCACTCTACAAAATTCACTCTTAAGAGTTTTAGAGAGTAGCTACATTTTAAAATATTTTAATTTGTCCTTAATTTGTTCAAATTTGTTCTTATAACAACTCCTTGTTAAAATTGTTATAAGTAATTGTTGTAAGAATTTTTTCAGATTTTTATGTAGGAACAATGTAAAAATCCGCATTGAAGTTCGAAAATCTAAATTGTAGATGAAGGATGAAAATTTAACATTTGACGGATAAGTGACAAAAGATTAAAAACATTAATAATTTATGACCACAATAAAGTAGATCCATCGACGCAAGTTTGTCCTCAATTAAATATTAATTAAAATTCATTGGCTAATACCGAGGTCTAATAATTACGCGTTTAACTAACGGATCAGCCATCACGATCGAGCGGCACGACACATGAAAGGGTTAAAATATGTAAAAGGTTAATGGATGCGCGAATATCTCGCAACGTGTCTCGCGAGCATCCCGCGTGCATAAATTCAAGTGCACATTCTGAGCCGGTTGCTAACGCGCGCGTTTGTGTCGAGCGCGAGGTATACGTTCGCGCGTCCGTCAGTCGCGCCAGGTAAATTCTCGCTTGGGTCGAGGCACTCGCCAACGCAAATACCCGAAGGAGCTTTGCGCAATAACAAACGAGATCGACTCGCATCTAAATACTCCAGCGACATGCTTGTGTAGGTGCAGCAGTTCTGAAGAAGAACGCAGAGCGTCTTCACATGAGCGCGTCTTTGCGGCGCGATTGTCGCACGAGGCATCGTCTTACACGATTTATTTGCACGAGGCATCGTCTTACACGATTTATTCGCACGTGGAAGACGTGCGCTCTGAATAGCGCGGAACAAACCACCTTCCCCGAAGCGGCCCGCCGGAAATAATGCATCTCGATTTGCATCCATTCAACAGCCGAGGCAGATTCAAGATAGACGCGGGGAGACAGTTTCGCGTCTCATCGAGCGATGCAGAATGCAACGCGGCTGTTGAAAATTGTGCGCGGTCAACCACTCTCAACATTTGTGAAATACGTCGTCGGACCTGCATGTACCAGTGACGATATTTTATCATTGGACGAGCCGTTCTATCACATTTATCCCGTAAAAATTGCTATTTTCTTTTTATCCAAAACCGGCATGCGTTTCCGGGTTATTCGCAGCGGATTATTATAAATTATGAACTGGTGAAACGGGTTTTAAACAGTCATGTCTGTAATTCGTTAATAATTACTAGCTGCTACATAGATCGCACAAAAATAATATATTAATGTATCGAGCACACGCAATATAATGTGAATTTTACTTTAAAAACGTGTTAAATTATTAAGCTATTTAATACTAATAATATTAAAAATATATATTTTTATAAAAAAATATTAAAAATCCAGTTAAATATCTGATGTAAGAAACTGAAAACTTATACAAATGTCAATTTAATAATAAAATAATTCAATGATCTGCAGATTAAAAAAATTATAATTATGAATATTATAATATAATGCATGTTTATATTATACATCACAACTATTTTCTATTCCTTTCACTCTTCACATGTCCATTGTTCTCTCTGTCCATACTTATCAATCATATGGACAGAGTTTATCATCTTTGCAAAAAAAAAACATATTTCCATCGTAGACAACTCGTTACCAAAATTAACAGGTGCTCAACACTCAAAAGTCTCAAAAAAATTCCACTCACGTTCAATCTGGGCACCGAGGATGATCTGCCGTTGACTCTCCTGCGTCTCAGAAGCCTCGCTCGCTCGCGATCTCTTCTGGTGCATCTGCCGTCCTGCCGAGACACCAGGATGATTTGGGGTGCGTCTTCGAGCAATCGCATCCCAAGCAGAACGCAACCTCCCTCCTCATCGACACCCGCCACGGTGCTGCCGCAATTCCGCATTCCATCGGCACTCGCGTCGTTCGTTATCGTGCACTGTGACAGATCCTCGGTGGATCTCGAAAATGCTCTCGAACCTGGTCGATGTCTCTTTCGTTCGATCACGAAAGACGAGGCTCTCGTACGCCGTGCGAGATCGAGCTGCGGCACGATCCGTCTAGCGATCAACTGCTCCGTTTTCGTCGCAAATTCTTGCGATCTACCCGACCGTGATTCAATCTTCGAACGATATCTTGTTGCCTGAACGCTGTCGGTGACGTCGTGATTTGAGGAAGGGGACACACTTCCTTCTAAAGACGAATTTTCGACGCAAGTGTGCTCTTTGGTATCCTTCGTCGCCTCGTCGCTTTGGTTCCTCGAGGAATCATTCGCAGGGATCTGCTCACCGGTTCCAGGCGCGGAGACGCTTCTCCTCAAGACGCGTCTTCGTGCCTCGATCCTGGAGGACGCCTGGATAGAGCGCGTCAACGTGTCGCGATACTGCGGATTCACCACCGTCGTATGTCCATCCTCCTCCACGGTGTTTCTGCCATCGATAATCTCCAGAGCTTCGGACGTCGCCGTCCCGTGAACCTCTTGACTCAAGGCAAAACTCGCGCTTCGAGATCCTTTAAACGCGTGCACATCATGAACAATTCGCGAAGGACCCTTCAAGGATTGATTCTTGCGAAATTCTCGCGGTGGTTTTTTTGGCGGTGATTCGAAATCATTGACTTTGTTTTGGATGCCTGATGGCACGGTTTGCTTGTCGATCTCCAGCGTCGTCACGTCGTCGTCGTCCTCGCGACGCTCCACGTCGTCGTTGACTTGTTCTTCTGATCGCCGCGACGTCTCGCGCGCTTCGTCGACGTCGACGCACTGACGTACGGAGATCAGACGGCAACCGCCGTCGTCCCCACTATCTTCTTCGCTGATATACATCCGAAATAACTAAGCGTCGCACGTCATCGTCGCGCTGCAACGCGACGTTTTACCACGAAACAAAACGCGTCAGTTTTCCTTTTTCAGTTAAAAGAATTGTCGGCTCTTCGGGATCTCTCATATTTTATCTCTCCTTTCTTCGGAAACGGACAGGTGTATAGTGATTTCGTAGTTTGCCAAAATATATTTGCGCACCGTTTCGCGGGAAATCCGTCCGCAAGTATACACAGAAGTGCGAGGTCGTGTCACATCTATGATGTCCGTGACAATTATTATTTATGATGGACTTTCAGGAAACTCTTATGCGATGCTTTTCCTTGATCCCTCTTTCAAGCTTCGAACGTCAGAGTTGGCGTGTGCCAGTTGGCTATTAATTAACGTCTCAGCGTGACGTTTCATGTTGGTCGAATGTTTGAGCGATCTTCCGTATAATTAGTTGGGAAGAAAGCAATTTTCCTTTCAATGTCATTTCTATTACTGTATAACTCAGTCTTTTTCGAACGAGTAGCGTACAGGCTTATTCAAGGGACTGAGACTAGGATGGTACCAATAATTAACAAGTACTTTTGGCGTATCATATATTTTACCGTTAATATTTCAAGGAATGAGCTAAGAATCGTGAATAAAGAAATGACGTAATTAAAAAGGATCGTATATATTTTTATTATTCACAATTGTTTGTTGCGAAATGAAAATCTCGCAGCATCTCCGGAGTTTTAAAAATATATTCATCGCATATATCCGACCTTTCCGTTATACTTGCGAATACATCCGGAATAGAATATACGTTCGAATGCAATTTTCCATTAACATTCGTGCCGCACTGAGCTGTGCACCAGAAAAAAAAAACACAGGTGCTTTTTCAAACATAAATCATAAAATAATGGTCTCCGCTCTTTACAATTAACACAAAAGCATTCATTAACAGAAATGAAATTCTTGCGATAAAAAAAAACCTTGAAATATCTCTGGAAAATTGAACATTCAACAACCCACACTTGGGAATTTATTCTGAATCTTCGACAAAAAGTCGCTTTTGCAAATTTCGATATATGTTTGTGTATTTTATTTTTTGCGATGTACGTCGCTCACTCCAGCATTGCTTAATGCAAAGGTGAAGAAAAATAAATTTCGACTAACACAATTAAGACCAGGGTTCTAAATGTAATGCGCTCCGTTCTAAGGCAATTTATTCTTGTGAAAATCAACGCCACGCGATCGATCTTCGAGCATAAGCATCGTGCGAAAGAGATCGAAAGGGACAGCGCGTGCTGCGTCGCGCGTAATTACATTACCGTAATTAATGCTCGTTAGATCTCTCACAACACCTGGAACAACATCGGAGCCCCATAATGAAAAATCATATTACATTACACATCGCAATTGTATTTTACAAACGAAGTTAGTTATAAGCGCAATTACGTCTACTGGGGAAATAAGATTGAACATCAACGAAAATCGAGGAAAAGTAAAATCTTCACATAAAACTCACAAACGGCAGTTTAAATTGACACCATCATCAATTCGATTGCAGCACTCGTATACGAGTTTCGTGACTAAAGCATGTCACTTTTTATCAATTATAACATCGTTTCTTTTTTTTCGTTTAATTTTTTTACGTCTTCGAGTTGAAGGCAAATCAAGGTAACGTCTTCGGAGGAGAAAGTCTATCCATGCATTCCAATTGTCCCACACCCAGGGGATCCTGTTCTTTTTTTTTCTCGATTTTCACCTCGATCGATCACTGACGATGAGCGGTAGTTCATCGCTGACTTAACGTAGGTCGGACACGCGCGAGCGGAAAAAGAGACGCACAGGCGTCGAGCGCCGTTGGCCTACTGCGCCGGTACCTAATCCCATACAGCCGGCGCGGTGTACGCGATACGGCACGCCGCGTGCACACACATACACGTACACGCGGCACTACCGTACGGGGCAGGTGTGTACACGCGGCTACATAAGCAACACAGGCGCAAGCTTCCATTCCGTTCCATTCCGCCATTCCATTCGAGCCGCACGCCTCGCGTCTAAACTCTCACCGGTGCTCGGATCTCTCGCCACCGCACGCCACGCTGCGCTGGTTTCATGCCTCCTTTCGTGTGCGACGCGTGTACACACGTGTTCATACACGCGCCGATGCGTGTGTGTCGACGACCCACCGCTGACGTCCTCCAATCGGCAGGGACCGATTGCCAGCACTCGCGGCTTGGAATGCCTTTTCCTTTCGGAAACCACTTTGGATCGCGGACCGGTTACGACCGCGATATACCGCACACGCACGACCAAGAATTATTAGGAATTATCGAAAATTGATACCAGACTGGGAGGGGCCCGGAAAATACCCGAGAGGGGGCACCGAGGGATAATGCGGGGGAGTCGTGCGAAGGTATTATTTGCCGAGACGGTATTCTTAGAAAACATAAGTGTTTAGGAACAGCGCCAACGGCACTACTTTGGATCACGATCAGTTCAAAATTGTTTTTCACAAATGGAAAATAAAATTAATGTTTGCTGATTAATCCTCTAGACATCCAAATATCTAGAATTCATTTAGGTCATTCTTAAAAAAAAATAGCAAATTTATTGGAATCAATCAGATTACAATAAATATTAATACATTATTTTAATGCAATACTACTTCAGGCTCCTGCCTGCTCGCTGCAACAATAAATTATGATATCAAAAGCGACAAAAACATGAAGAAAATTCCAGTAAACTATAATATATTAAATATTTGCAATCAATAGAATAAATTTATGAAACTTCCCTTATGTTTCAGTAATCAATGTTATATATTATAAAAAAACGAATTAAATGTTTTAACTACGTCTAATTTCTAGTTATATTTGTATAGGTACTCTTCATTTTAATCAAGAAAGAGAATGTGCAATACTTGTGAGACTCTCACAGATATTTTCTTCAGAAGTACTCCAAAAGGTTTGCAGGTTATTGCCGTGTCGTGATTCATTGCTATAATACTAATGTTCTGTGAACCTTGTCGTTCATGTTATGGCGAGAAACGCACTGATACAGTATCAGTCTCTCCTTGACAAACGGCAAGGTTCACGAAACGTTAGCATTATGGATCATACGATACGGCAATAACCCGCGAACCATTTGGCACCTCTAAAGGAATGTGCGTTTAAAAGAACCATAAAAATTTACATTTATAACGGTATTTCCATAACTTTCCGATAATTATGGCATGTTTGTTTCGGATACATATGTGCGGTCAGACTTCAATATCGAAGAAAGCGACCCGCATGGTTCATTAATGGACGCAGTTTGCCTTTGCGAAAACATTATCGGACCTGCGCATATCGTTTTCCGTTTGTGAGTTTACGTCCGGTATAAAGTTTCACTTTGAGGTGCACATTGCTGTAGACCATCATCATTGGACCGTCACCTATCTTCCGGATTTTTCTTCTTGGCTAACCGCACGTCAAAGGGAGAAGATAGCGCGCTAATGCTTCCTCACACAGCGAGTTCGAAAGATATTTCTCTTGATCTCTCTACTTCACGCGAATTTATTCACGTGGTACCAAGTTTCTTGAGCTCATCTAATGATAACAAAATCCGAGAAGATAAAAACGACGGCGCAATAATTCTTAAGATCTATTTATATCTTTATTTTAAGAGATATCAACTCGATGTGCAAAAGATGTATTTTGTATTCGTGATTATGATCATCTTTAGCGTCGATAATCGTTTTCAAAGAATAAACAACCTTAATAACAATTGTAATAATAATAATTCGCAAAGTTGTATTTATTCTAATAGAGAAGAACTGTGATCGAACAGAGTTTGATATGCAATCATCCTTTCATTATCTGTGAATTTCTCTCTCTTTTGAAAATGATTTTCACGATTTTTAAATGCTAACTTTAAAACAAGTGATAAAGATTGATCCATTTCAACACATGAAAGATATTTAGAAAGCGTTTATCTGCAAGGCCGTTTTTATCACGGTTGCATGCTTACTTCTATAACGAAAAAAATGCGCGAACTTTTTTCGATACATATTTCCAATCGACACGTTTAATGTAAAGCCTATGCATAAAATCAAATTTACATGCATTTCGAGCGGAGGGTGCAGTGAATTCTTGTTCGAGTCGCGTGCGAATCTGTTAACGCACGTGCAGACAGGATTTCATTAATTGCCTGGCGCAGTCCGCCCATTCATTTTGACACGTGATCCCACAATCCTCTCCGTTGATGATCGCCTACGTCACCATTAATTATAAACGCACGCAAACAGTACGCGATCAGTACGCGCGGATAACGAGCTCAGAGAAATAATCGCCAGCTCGTACACTGTGCTGAATTATCATAATTCCATGCTAATAATTATTGTTCTTAATGAGCGTGCCTAATATCCGTTTCGTTACAATATAAAATATTAGGCTAATCGTGAGGTTTGGCGAGAGAGTAACGAAGTAGTTCAGGATGGACTTTAATAAAATCATTAAAAAGTTTATTAACCTATTGAAGTTAACTTCCTTAATTGGGATTGAAACACTCATCGTTTTTCTGGCATCGATAAATTTATACTGACAATGAGAAGTGATAGTAATAAATACTAAGTATTGAAATAAAAAGTGCATAATACGTGTAAATTTTTACGATTATTAAATACATAATGAAAATTTAATATTTTGGCAATAAACATAGAATTTTGAAAAGTATCATCAAATCGCTCATCTATATGTACTAATAATGGAGAGATTAAGGTAGTTAATTAGAAAAGATCCTATAAATATAATTACACAAAAAGTATGGCACGTAGGAGATAATGAGTATATTCATTTGTGGGCTGATAGACGATTATGCTGAGAGAAAATTTATGTTTTCGTATAATCGTGTGGCAACTCATCCGCGAGTTGTAATGAATAGGTCTCATTTAACACAATTTAATTAATTTCAGGCAATTAATTAATTTTAGACAATCCTTAAAAGTGCACCGCGCGTAAATTCTAGTTCAACCGTCAGATAACATTGAA